TATAGACATTGCTGGAGCAGAAGCCTTTACGTAGGTCTGGATATGCTTCTAGAGTAGTTTTTGTGCAAGCCTTGTTCTTTAGATGAAAGGTCAAAATAGAGCAAGTGTCATGTACTGATATCACAGCAAAAAATTTCCCTCCCTACAACTTCCTGCACTACTGCCAATAAAGTTAGAAGGAGCTAGTCCGCTGCAAATGAAAGATTTGCTTACTTAGAGTTTGGTTAAAAAAAAATATCTGTTGGGGCTAAGATTACTCATATAATTTTGGATCATGTAGAAAGTTTCTAAGTTATTTGGAATAAAATGTGCTAATTTGTTTCTCAATTGGGTAAGTGTGAATAGGTACCTTTTTTTCAGGTACCTATGCCACTATGTGCCACAGTTTTGCTCCTCTGCCTTGTGGTGGAGATTACTCACCTTACCAGTATAATTCCAATGTAATCAGGTTAGCTAAAATGATAAGATGTTACCAAAGCAAAATCAGACACAGGCCCACTAGATGGCAGGGAATCAATGTCCCTCATTTTCTCCAAAAGTGCACCTATAGTGCATATCACTGAGTTTTGGGAACTCTACGTGGAAAAACTTTCACGATGCTTGCTGCCTGCCCTTGATGCCTGGGCAGTAGAGTATATAGCTGACCTTCAGGGGGTCTTTCAGATGGAAGTTTACATGGCACTCACCCATACACTGATGACTTCTAGCCTTCATGTCCAGCTGCTAATACAGGGGAAAGTGGTTAGGAGCCTGCTGTCAGTTAGCCCTAGCATATAAATCCTCTGTCTTTTTTTTTTTTTTTTCTTCTTCAAGACTGAGAGGGTTGAGGTTAGTGGATTTCAGCAATACCTATTGCCACCCCTACTAGTCCTCCTTTTCTACTTTGCAGGGCTCCTTTCCCCTTTTCTTCCCCTTCCTCCTTTCCCCTCAGACGTTTACCTTACTGAAAATTGACTTAAATTTCTTAGTTACTGTTTGTGCATCCCTTGGAAGCAGCTTGCGGATGCTAGGTAAACACAATCATTTCATTGAGTGTTTTTTTTTTCCTCTCCTATCTATCAAATAGAGTAATCTTTTCAAGTTGCTAACCAGGAGCTATGAAAACTACCAGTTACCTTTGAGCATGTAGGAGGAAGTCATAGGCTGTCCATAGAACCCCCAAAAGGGGCCTTCCTTGCAGAGCGCAAAGCCGATGGTGCTTTAGGCTGCCTATGTTAGTGGTTCTGTTGTTTGTAACGTGTTACAAAATAATAATCGGAGCAGGAAAACAAAATCACTGGCTTTTGCATGCTTTTTGTGATTTAGTGACTGATGGCTGGATGACTTGTTTGCTGTAGTTGTTTTAATTCTTACTAGAAACAAACCTAGTGCTTGGTTACTGTTTGTTAGTCTTTGTAATGAAATGTGGGGACCCCGTAGAATAATATCAGACGAGACAAATGAATAAGAGTTAGAAAACGCTTTTCTCAGGCTTTAGGAAACTCTTAGTTGGAATTGCTTTGAAGTACGATAACTAAAAATTTGGGACAGAGGGAGCCTTTTTCTATAATCCATCCTCTTTCCCATATCAGTTCCGTGCTGGAGTTCATAATGAGCGTGTGAGTCTCTCATTGACCTTTCCCCTCTCTCAAATCACACCCAACTTGGTGAAAGATCTTAAGTGGATTTAAAAAAAAAAAAAACCTTAAAAAAACATTATTTACAAACAGAAGATTCGGAACCTTCTTTATACAGAAAACAAATTCTGAAGGGAAACTTTAAAATATCTTTCACAGATTTCCTGTAAGGATTCTTCAGCAGTAATAGATGTCAGAGCTGAAGATTTGGGGTTTAAATACTAATATAAAATGTGATGTCCTAGACAATGAGAGAAATCTTTTCTTTTAACAAGAAAAATCAACATGCGTGATGATAGACAACCTTTTACGTTCTGCTGTTGGTGGTGATTAGAGAGACAGACATGCTCCATAAACTTCCACTGTCAACCGAGCTTGAACACGGTCTGGCATGCTTTTCCTGTGACAACATATTTTAATTTTTCCTGTCTTTGCCTGCTGTCGCTCAGGACAAGTCAATGTTAGCGGCATTATCGTCTGCTAACTATATTCTGTATGTGCAACCATGTTCTGGGATGAATTTAATTATACTTTCTGTAACACTCTTAGAAACTGAGGCCTGAAAGTAAGGCTTGCCTCAGGATGATATACTAAAACTTAAGTTTTCAGTATATTATGTATGGGCAGTCATGATCAGGATTTCTGTGCAGTTTTCAAGAGGATAAAAGAATCTGTAATGTAGGGAAGTTTTATCTATTGGCCTCAAATTTATAGTCCTCAGTAAGATTCAGATTAACTAAAAGAAATTTTTTTAAAAAAAAAAAAAAAAAAAAAAAAAGAGCGTCTTCCCGGATAGGTTGCAGTTGCCATGCTCTGTTCTACCAAGAATTGATTTCCGGAGGTAGGGAGAATTTTCTGTACCGTGCATTCCAGGGAGAACATTTCAAATGAAAGCATGTATCCCAAAACTCAAGCAGTAGGGAAATACCTATGGTAATGTTCTTACTAATAAAAAATAAATGTAATTTTAAAAGTTTATCTCAGTAGTGCTATGCGCTGGAGAAAATATATTCAGGATATGATTCATTAAGCAAATGGAACAATGCTAATGCAGATGGCTTTGTGTTCATCTATCTCAACTCATTAGTAGGAAAATAATAGCTAAAAAATGAGCCTTCTGATCTTTAAATTGTAAGAAATGTATCTTTTATGCCTACTCATCTAAGAACTCAAAAAACCCCAGTACACTAAGAAGCTTCAAAGGCATTTCTTCTTTAAGGATCTATCTTTTCCCCTCTACTTTTTTCCCCTCTTTTTCCTCTTCTAAACAGGAACAAGGGTTAAAATACAAGTAATATGTATGATTTCCCTATGGTAGGTAATGGCTGAGATATAAAATGTCAACTAGTCAGGAAAAATAAATGACTACGGTTAGTTTTGAATCCTACTTTTGGGTCTGTCCATGAACACACTGAAGCGCTAGCAATGCCTTTAGCTCAGCTGCAACTCTTCTGGAAGTTTCTATTCAGATTATACTACAAAAAGTGCACCAGAAAACGCATTAATTTTTTAGAGTTTCAAGTTTAACCCTAAGATCTTCATGACTTAATTTTAGCGAAAAAAAAAGGGGGGAGGGGAAATTAATGGAAAAATATGCTTCCTCCTCGAATTCAGGGAGGTGTATTTAGAAAGAGAAGCACTACAGAAGATGATTCTAGCAATGTTTGGATACAGTCATTTTTTGGACTTTTTTCAGCCTCAGAGAAAACTTTGAGTTTTATCTTAGTCATTTTACATATTCATATCATAACTTGAATTTTTTTTCCAGAGGAAGTCATTTTGCATTTTGTTAACAGAACTTTAACTTTAGTCCTTGTCACTTTTTTCATCTTTTATTAAAGATGCAGCAATGTACGATTCATATTTATTTTCAGTTGTGTACAGTGAAGGGTTTGCACTGCCTCTTCTTTTTTTTTCCCCCTCCCCTCCTCTCTCCTGGCAATGGTAGCAGTAGTAAAGCTGACCTGCCTGCTGAGGTAGCTGACAGTTACATCATGCAACTACTTAATGATGAAAGCTGCGTTAGTACAGATAAATGGATGCCTTTATGTTTTGGTGGCTGAAATTTGACTTTTTAGTTATGTGAATACCAGAATTCGCAGACTATCCAACAACAAAGTGCAATAGCAAAGGTGTTATTTGACCTTAGAACTATATCCACCATAAATGTGCGTGCATGCACTTATCTGTAGTTATTGGCTGGGGTTTCTTTGCTAAGTGAGGTGCACTGTTCTTTATTTTCATCAACATTAACACAACATAAAACACTTCATTTCCCTTGTATATGTTGTCCATATGTCCCAGAACGGGACTTCCATTAAGGTATGAAGGAGGTTATCAGCTCTGGATACAGCACCTTGAGAAGGATGTTAGCTTAGTCATTTGAAATTCAAATGTGAAGCAATTCAGTAGCTTGCCTGAGCTCAGATTACACCCTAATTTAAAAAAAAAAAAAGAAAAGCTACATTTAATTGAGCCTGGTAATTCATGTCTTTTAAACCAAAGGTTTGGGTTTTCTTTCCCAGGTAGGTGCTCTGAATGTTCATTTAACCTTTCCTATAGTGTTAGCAAGGTGTTTTAGCCATCAAAACAAGGAGGATGCAAGGTATTATATACTATTAGAGTTAGTCATGCATATTTAACTAAGATTCACATACCCCATTCAAATTGCTTGTGTAATCTTAGTGGTGTCTTATAACAAATGTTTTTATAATTTATCAGTTATGTACCTAAAACAAATCAACAGCAGCTGAGCACATCCGTTCCAGTAGCTATCATCCTTTCTGTATGTCTGCCTTCCTTTTAAAACTAACGTTTACAGCTCCTATGTGAGAATAGCGTGGAAGAACTTGACCCAAAATAATCTCCATAGTAAAAATACCAGAAGGGAGCTGGGCACACTGTAGTCCTCGTGTCAGACTGAGCTAGGAGAACATCTCTGTTTAAAAACTGTGGCGTTTCAAGGTTGGAAGTGGGATGAAAATTAGATTGAGTTAAGCTAAATGATTGAAGGGACATTTAATGAGCTGGTAAGGACACTTCAGTAGTGAACTGGATCCAATTCAGAGCTAACAGAGTTCCTGCATTTTAAGTCAAAGCTTGAAAACCCCAGAAGGCAGAGCCTTTGGCCACAGAGTAAGATGTATTTGGTCCCCAAATACTAGAGTTTTGGTCTAGATAGTTACCTAATATTTCGCAATTATTGTTATTATCATCTTTAATCAAATTAGGAGTCTCTGATTTGATAATAAGATACAGGTTGTCTCCAAAGCACCTTACAGAATCACAGAGTTAAGCATTGCTTTGGTTTGTGGGTTTTGGGTTCCCCCCCGCCCTTCAATATTTACAAGTAAAGACAGGTCAAATTCTAAGACTGCATCTTACCATAAACTTGATAGTTGCTCTGAGCCAGCATTACTAGAAGGATGTGCAGTAAAATCCTTTTGATAAACATGACTGGAGGGCCCTTCATTTACTGGGCATGGTAGAGATAGGAGAGGTTCCCGCGGGTTTAAAAAGTGCACTTCAGATGGCCTCTTACATCCTGTTAGGTTTACCCATAGTGCATGTCTGAGCCGATTCCCTTCTCTAGTTCCTTCAGTCAAGAAAGGGCAGAAAGGGGTGGGGAAGCAATATAGCATGCAAAAATCTGATGGGTTACACGGTAGTCTTTTGTGCAGTTGAAACGTGAACCACTTAATCATTTCACAACGTCTCAGAACTGCTTTGCAATTCAAGGCAAAACACCTCTCTCCTCCTCCTCTGGCTCCCTTTACAGTGCAATAAGCACAGCTGCAGACTTATTTTTTAGAAAGGTACTCCTACAATTGAAATTTCAGTTTACAAGCAGCAATCCACCAGAGTATTTTAGACAATACTATCTTAATTTTTTTCCTGTTCTTTTGTGTTATTTTAATTCAACCTTAATTGCAAATAATATTAAAAAATTACAAAGTTATTCTTGAATTTGAACAGATTAACTATTCAGAAGCTGTGGAACGTCAGAAACACATCTGTCTGAATGGTTTTAATTTGCGTTAGATTAATTTACAATGATCTAGAGTATGAGACATGCTTGCTTCCCCTATTTCCAAATTTCGACCTTCTGTTACGGGGATACCAAGTAATTTGCATTTGGGTTTTGTGGGTTCTTTTTCAGCATGCCCAGGACGCTTTTTCCTTTAAATATTTCTAAAACATCTAAATACTTCTGAAACATCAGAACCATTTAGCTGAACCTTCCCAAAAATTCTGCCCTTCATAAAGTTAGAAAGCAAAGGCTGAAGAGGAACTTTGTATACAGCCACTATCACTTCTTATAACACAAGCACAACAATCGCAAAGAAAGCAGGGAAGATTATAAGACAGTTAAGAAATTCTGTGTTAAAATATACATATATTATGCTCTAATGAAGATTTAAACTAGTGAGGCTTTTCTCAAAGCGATCTTTTAGAGAAAATAATTGTATGGTTTGCCAGAACTTCATGCCTACAAGTACCTGGCTCAGTCCATGATGATCAGGAGAATCGTATATTGACGTTTGTGAGAAACTATGAAGTGGCCTTAGAAACAATATTATCATGCAGCCAAATGATGAAAGATGGTTTCTTATGAAAGAAAACTCCTTGAGCATAATTACACACACAGTAGCGCAGACCGCATTTGTGTACGGTAAAGACATCTAGTGGCTGACAGTAAAATTGATCACTAAGGGATGTGACTCCTGGCAGTATAGCTTGTGTGTTTGTGTCAATGGGTTAGCCAAAGTTTATGTGAGGCGTGTAATATTGGCGGTTGATACTTGTTTTCTTATTAGAAAACCGAAATTTTAATTAGGGAGCAAAACAATCAGTTAAGACAATCATTCAAAAATGGACAAATGTTCAGGATTTAAGTTTGTTCCATATGTTTTGGCCTCCACCTGGATGGAGGTTAAAGAAATTATATCCAATTTGTCATCTTATTAAAAAGCCTTGACCATTTCTAACAGTTTTTTCCCCCATTAAACTTTTTGGAAGTGTTTTGTTCTAGGGGAATAATATTCTAGTTCTGCTTAACTGGCATATCTGGTTTTGCCCTGTTTTCAATTTTTAAAAGTTTGAGTGAGAGTCTTCCTCGACTTTCTCAGAAGAAGTGGAAGGGTGAGGTGTTTATTTTGAGCAAGGAGAAGGGAAAGTTCGCAGCTGTTTGGATTAAATATTTTGTTACTGACTGAAGCTTTGTCCGTATTTTGAGACTAGCTTTCTAGATGGATAATTCCTTGTGGTAATTTTGTGGGAATATTGTGAACTGTAAGATAGATGCTATCAGGCCTTTATTTTCTCAGGAGAGGTCAAATTGGTCAGAGTAGCAGGAAGGAGCACGTGTTTCCTGTACCACATAATGTTTTTAGTTTTTGAAACTCTTTTAGGTTGTATTTTTAATACTAAGTAGCTTGGGCACTCATCTGCGGTTCAGATACCTTTCTTTTAAAAGGATCTGGCAAATGTGACTTCTTCCTCTACCAGTGCCGACATTGCATTAATTCCTTTCTGTTTAAGTCTTTTTTTTTTTTAAATCTAGATTTTTCATGTTCTCTTTTTAAGACTTTCTAACCTTCTTCAGATGATCATGGGAGCTTTTTTGTGGAGCTAGATTATAGATTAGATGTTTTGGACTTTTAAATGGTAGCTTATATCCTAATTTTAAAAAGAAAAAAGATCCGTCTCTGAGTTTCAGCCACTAAAATAAGCAGTTATGCTTTAAAAGTATGTTTTAAAAGGTAAATATTATGTAAATATAAAATAACTATTTACCAAAGAGGGAAGCAGTAGAGTCCTAAATTGGTAAGATACTGTATATCTAGGAGAGGCGGGAGCTTACGAAATTTAATTTAAGATGAATGATCACTTCAATAAGTCAATAAGTGACTTGAAAAAAATGTCACTAGATGGCACTAATTTCCAGCATCTGCAATAACTTCTTTGCTACATGCAAATCAGACCTCAGCTGAATCCTAGGTTAGGTATTCAGTATTTAAAGAACTGAGAGAATTCTATGCAATACAAACATAACAACTGGCCTGATTCTGTGTGTGTTGGATGCTATTTTGAGGAAGTGGTTCCAAAAAATATGTAGTAAAACTTGGACAGTCTTAAACAACGGAGGATTGCTGTTCATAGAAACCCGTCTCACTCAATACAGTTTGTCATGTCTGTTTATGTGAATGTAAGTGAAGGAATTACCTATGTAATGCTCATTCTTCTGTGCCATCTCAGTTTGTTTCTTCTGATGAGACAAGGTTGTGTTTTTTGGAGTTGTTTCCCCCCACCCGCATTTCTAGGTTGTTAGACATCTGCTCCTGCTTGCATAGAGAGAGAGGGCATTCAGATGTTGGGCTCCAGTAAGTCTGCTGAAAACTACCTTCATAACACTGGATGAGGAAGTTTTAATTTCTTCGAGAATTAGAACAGTAATTTAGAGTCCATCTGTGCACAATCTCCCATCCATCTCCTTGCCTTTCACTACTGATCGCACAGGCTGCCGTAGTACATGCTACCACCTGCATGGTGGGGTGGCACCCATGGCCCATCGTCATGCCTTGTTAGTGTTTCTCAGCGTTTGTGGAGAGATCAGCTGCTTCATTTCTATGCAAGTTCTTTCCTTTTGCACACTGAGATTCTCTGCACCTCCCTGCTTTCCCTGAGCAAATTCAGCTTAACAAATGAGCAAAGTTTTTCTGTTGAATCAGCATACAAATACCTTACATGACTTTCTTAAGTGCAGACTGAGCATGGGGCATGAATACTCTCATATGTGGTGTCAGTTGTTCATTCAATATGGAGGAGGTTAAGAACCTATTCAGGGTTTTGCAGCATACAAAAACTTTCATTAATTGTATGTACGGGGTAGTTTAGTTATTGGATTCATTTAATAGTAAGGACAGTGTTCAGAAATACAGGGAAAAGCAATTTAAAACTAATTACAAAAGAATTAAGCTAAGGGGGTCCTGTCTACTGTGCCAGAATCTAATACTGAATTTAGGAGCTATTCTGTGCACAGAAGGACAGATTTAAAAAAAATAAAATAAAAAAGGGAAGGGGGAGAGGAAAAAAAAAACACTTCGGGCAAACCAATATACAAAAAAGCCCTCTAAGAACCTCTAAAGCTCCTAACTATTTGTTCCTCAGCTTTGAACTCAACTGCTGAATGATACCCTCCCTCCCCTGCTATAAGCTACACTCTTCTAGCAAGACTAAATCTTCAAATTTGTCTAAACTTAAAGGGAGGATGAGGTCAGGACACTCAAACTCAACCAGACAGAGTACAAACTGGAATAGCTATTCAGCAATTGTTTATCATGTAAACTGTTCTATTTTATGCCTAGTATAAAGTATTTAGAATTGGTCTTGAGGCTACCCTCAGCCAACCACGAGCAACATTAGCAGTAGTTCTCTATATTGTACCTCAGAACCTGCATCTTGTGTTCTCAGCAGAGACGGACTGTCTGCCTCTTGGTACTAAAGAGGAAATGGCCTCTACTACCAGAAGACCCACAAATTCCAAACACCTTGCAAACAGAGAGAAGTGGTGGGATGCACAGGAAAACATCCTTACCTGATTTAAGCAGAGCTTCCACAGATTGTCCATCCTCCAAACCCTCCTACCCAGCCTATGTAAATGACAAACCTAATTATCAATATAAGTATGACCTAAAAGTAGTTATTGTACACTTTGGCTTTACTCCATCTTGGATGTGGACTAAACCACATGGTTCACTAAGGGAAATAAAATGTTGTCATAGGAGTTTAGCATGGCCTAATTAGTATGCTTTAATTTCACACCTCACCTGATTCTGCAACAGCTTTCACACAAATCCTAACTGATAATGTTGGTTTTGCAAGTATAAATAATGTGTTTTGGAGGGGAGCTGCCAACACAAAAACTTTACATGAAGGTATGTCTTTCTCTTTTGCTTTTCCACTTAGCGTAAGGGCAACAAAAAGCAACTTGATCTTAGTGAGCTGTGACCTGAGAATGAGGAATGAATGATAAATTCATGAATCAAGAGGTTGCAGGAGTTTATCCTTGATCCATCATGAGGTGTCAGGCCTGACAACAATTCAGGAAAAGGGTCTTGCGTATCAAATCTATGCTTGATTTGATTGGCTGATGTATTTGCTCAGTTTCCATGAAGTAAGCCTATGAAGCAGATGCAGATCAAACTCTGACCTTTTTGCAAACAGTTTGAAAAGACTCCTCTACATTTGACTCCTCCACATTTCAGGCCTTTTCAGGAAGGGGTTTCTGCAGCACTAGGCAGATGAAAGACCCTATACCTACGAGTCACTTACTGCAGCGTCAAAATGCTAAACTTTAATTATTTCACTCAGTCTTCACTTGCAACAGAAGGCATGATCGGGGAACTTCTGTCATGAGGAAAGTCGCATACTTGATTGGCAACAGGGGTTCTGTATAATCATTCCTGAAACAGATTTGAGTGTGATTGTATCAATACATCAGGAGTCAAGCTGCTTCAAAACAAAGAGCTATATTACCTTAAGCTAGAACAATGGC